AAAATTAAACTTTATTATAACATAATAACTGTTTGAGAAAAAGGGCTCCTAAATGACTGAAGATACCAACAACTGTTATTGAAATATTACTTCTGAGGAACAATTTACTGAGCACTGTGGTTTACCATAATTGTTGACATATCCCCCTGAGTGCTGTGTTCCTCATATTTTTCATAGTATCAATCATTTAAAACAATTTGGGAAATAGCATCTGGGTGTACATTTCTGCTATTTTATTTACATCGTTTGCCTACATCATTTCAATTCAGAACCTTTCCAATTTGGTACAGTAAATATACTCTGTAATATCTATTATAGCATGCTCAAAAGGTAATTTATTGTGAAATAGAAAAAATAGGTCAACAATAATGTCACTTGATGATCATCCCTCCCCAGCTTTAATAAAACATCTCACCAGTATGCATTCCAGTACAGTGGTTGATATTTTATTAGGACTACCTGGCTATAGCAGTAGTGTAATTACTGAGCTGTCAGAGTGATAAGTGGGATTAATGGCAGCCTGATGCACTTTAGTCTGCAGAGCGCTTAGAGAATTGCAAGATGGTATTATTATCAGAGTCTGCCCATTCTGGCATATTCATGGCACCAAAAGGAAAAAAAAAAAAGAAAGAAAGAAAGAATGCTACAATTCAGGTTTGCATTGCCCTGCCCCATTAACATCTGACATTTCCAACAGCTGTTATTTGTGAACTAGCTCAACAATAAAGGGAAAATTATTTGGTAAAGAGGCTTAATAACCACAATGAAAATCCTTATGTTGTCAGTGCTGTTAAGTGAATCTGTTTACGTTGAATTTAAGATTTCCCTGGAAGGACAAGAAGACATGCTGCATCTTAATTTAGTTCACTCATATCTGCTGGGATATAAGATTATTTTTAGTTGCCTTAGTCAAGTTGGGTTCTTGAAAGAGGAAATGCACAAAACTTAGTTAGAGCTAACTAGACTCTGTATGATGTTGTTTCTCTATCTAGTACTCTTTATTCTTTCTTTCTTCCTTCTTTCCTTCGTTTCTTTCTTTCTTGTGTGTACGTGTGTGTGTTTTTGTTGGTGTACATTTAGCATGTATGTGCATATATATCTTAATTAGTTAGGCAATGGAATTTTTTAAACTGTTAATGTAATATATTAGGTGAGGGAATATGGCAAAACTTTGTTTTCTTAGTGTTTTGACTGTATTGCATTGGTACATGATAGAAAGCCTTTTACAATATTATTAATGATCACCGTATCTATACACAGAGCAGTTACTCACATAGTATAGTCTTGCTTCAACGTCAGGGACTACATTGGGGGAGTCTTATTCTCCTTTTGCATCATTTTGTGATGTATGTGGCAGAATGTACTTTAAAGAACTATTGTTGTTCTCAGAGATATTTAGGAAAAAAACTCAAAGTGCTAAGTATGAGTAAATCCAACAAAATGACAGATGTGAATCTAACAATGGCATTCAGAGCAATGACAGGGGAGAGGTTTAATGACTACATTTCACAGACACAATTGATTATGAAAAGCCTTCAGTACTCATCGTGAAAAATTTAATTTACAGAGAAGGCTAAGGGCATAAGCCATAGAAAAGAGACCAGATTTTAAAACAAGATATTAATTAGGTTCTGAGAAATTGCTTTAGACAATGGAGAGGATGGCCGTACAAAGAAATGACAAGGAGACCTCTATTGTTTCTTTGAAGGAAATGAACTAAGGTCTTTACACTTGAAAGTGGATAAAAAATGAAGGATTTGGTTTCCATGTCAGTGAATAATGTAAGATTCGTTTTTAGACAAATTCTTAGAGAATTCTGGTCTTCTAACACGTGACAATAGTACATTCTCCAGCTGAGTGTATTAGTGTATTTTTCACCTTTTTTTTTTTTTCTTTAGATCAGAGGTAGACCTCCTAACTTTACCCACACTGGCATAGTCTGTCCTCTTTACACCTTGGCATGTGCCATTTCTACCCTGGAGTCATTCTTTTGTTTTCCTATGTTGCCAGTCCCACCATTATTTGCTTTCTTGACATACACCTGTTTTTTAGGTCTTCATTAAATATTATTGGAATCAGCAAATCTTTCCTGACTCCAGGAATACTAACCCTATTATATGCCTGCTTATTATGCTGTATTTTGTTAAATGTTACATTTATCATTTTGAAATCTACAGTGTACTTTATTTCTGCACTTTCTTTTAGGTTTATCATAGGAACTACTATGTTTTTGTTCTCCATGTCTGGCATTCACTTCTGTTACTGTAATAAAATAACCGAGACTGAGTAATATGCAAAATAAAGACATTTATTTCCTTCACCAATTTGAAGGTTAAAAGCCCAAATCACATGATAAAGGTTGTCACATGAGCCTTATAAAGGATGACACATGAGTGTGAAAGATCTATTAATGCAGGGTCAACAAGCTCAATCTATCATACAGGGGCTCAATAAATTTTTATTAAATGAGTGAGTAAATGAACACACATACATACTCAGACCATGTATAAATGAAGAATGCTACAGTATTTGCATCTATCTCTGTTCCACAATAAACACTGTGGCATGATAAGTCTCACAATCTGGTTATTGTTAAAAATTAAAAAGAGATGAAGAAGCAGGGGGAGAACTGGTTTCTCTGCGAGAGGTTTATTAGGGGGTATGGAGGAAGTGGGTAGCAGGGCATGGTGGTTAAAGAGAGGGAAAGGAGGGATGGGGCACCCCAGAGAAAGAGAAGAGTGTGAGAGTAAGAGTAAGAGTAAGAGAGAGACCACGTGTCGGATCGGCCCTTTTAAGGGACACAATAAACCACGCCTTCCAGGTGTGTTCACCTGGCTGGCTGGCCACACCTGGTGACATCATCATGGGTTGTTAGGTAACCCAGAAGTAGGTTGTGTTCCAAAATACTAACATTCCTACCTTTTTCTATAATTAAAAAATGGGGAGCTTGGGCTGCCTTTTATAAGGTAAGTTAAAATATATAAATTTAGGCTCATTGGAAGCAGCTCTTGATTGTCATGCAAGAGGTTGAGAGAGAGAAGAATTATAGAAACAAAATGGTCAGATTGCAAGGTCAAGAGTAAGGGAAGCCTCTGCCCTGGAAAATTTAGGGTAGAGGGTTGTCAATAGAGAGAGTTGCCAGCCATGCAAGGCAGCAGGTAGGGACTGGGGAACACTGGGAGAACCTGGAGCTTCTTGTCCTGGTCATGAAGCACACCATTTCAGCCTTTTGTTAACAACAAGTGAATAATGGGCATAGATTCTCTTCTGGCTACTTCCTGCTGACACTGGGGGTGCTGTAGGGAGGTCAAAAGGCTGAAATGTTGGCCAAGTCCAGGAAGAATAGGCTGCTTTGATGCTTTCCAGGGTCTGCAAGAACATCCATGGCTGGGAGGGAAGGTGCAGGTCCAGCTTGTTGGAAGTCTGTGAGGTTAGAGTTGAACATCTGCAGCTTTTTGGAAGTCTGTGAGGTCAGAGTTGAACACCTGTAGTTGTTCTGGCGCTGTTGTGGCTATAGGAAACATCTGTGTCTGGCAGGACACTGAAACACATATATAGGCAAAAGATAAAAGTTGAGTAGGGAGAAAATCCTGTATGTATACATTGAAAGGTTTGGATCGATGAGGCTTGTACATGGGAACCTCTGTCTACCTGGGGGCAACTTTATTTACCCAATCACTGGCAATATTTAAATAAGGCTTTGTTTTCGACCTGTCATTAAGGTGAGGTTTGGTTACAGAAGTGTGTAAACCTAGAGGCCCTGGTGCCAGCTGGCACTAGGTGTAGAAACCTGAAATTCTCCAGAGGAGATCCTATCTGGAGCGCAGGCGTCTGGGTGTCTCCCATTGGGGCAGAGAAGTCACCAACTTTCCAGAGGGGTCCCAGTGGAAAGCTGTGACTCTGAGTGAGGGTCCATCAGCTTCCCAAATGGTACTTAAGAATGCATCTTAGGCCACAGAGGAGGACTTTGCAACCAGTCCTGAAGATACCTGATAAAAAAGGATCAGATGAAAGGGGAGGAGGTCCTCCCCAATCAGTGGACTTGGAAAGGAGCACGGTGGAGATGAGGGAGGGAGGTGGGATTAGGAGGGAATGAGGGAGCAGGATACAGCTGGGATACAGAGTTAATAAAATGTAACTGATAAGAAAAAAAAAAAAAAGAATGCATCTGGTTAGTTCCCAAAGAAGATTCTGAGTTAAAATTGGGAAGTGAAGGAAATGGAAGTTGAGTAGACAGTAGATCCCCATGGTACAGTACTCCATGCTAGGGTAAGAAGTTTGCATCTCTAAGCCCCTCAATGATCTGTAATCGCATGAAGCCTGCCACTAGCAAGAGAGATCAAAGCTTTATTCCTTTTTCTTAAGTGGAAGGCAGCTTGGGGGAAAATAAAAAGCCTTGTTTTCACAGGAAGTGAATTGGGCTACTCTTTGAAACAATTGCTACAGACTAATTTGTTCTATGGATGGACTCTGAGCTGAAAGACACCAAAGAAATGGAGGGGGGAGGAGGGAAGAAGGGAAGTATAGAACAGCAGGAAATTCATAAAAAAGAAGGGAAAAAAAAGACAGTATAACTATTAAGATATTAGATCTCCTATTAATTTGCATAATGATTGAGGTCTATTAGACATACATGCCATGCCATAATATATTGTATATTCTAAATAGAGTACTGGTAGATCAAACAGTGAAAGATTTCATAAAGGAGCGAATGATATGTCAAAAGTATGCAAGTCTTAAAACCTAGGAATAGCTCTGAGAGAACAAGTTGTTAAATATTAGAACACCCCCTATTCCACATAGGTCAAGAGGCATAAAAACTTAGAAAACAGAGACTAAATATTTACTTTAAAATACGTATTACTCTAAAAAGTATGCTTAAAAGTTTAAATTTTATTTGTATTTATTAAATGTTAATTCTAAACTGGTATAAGATATATAGAGAGAAGATTACGTCATTTTCTTTGTAATTTTCTTAACACAGTCATTCTATTCCCTAGATGCTTGAAATGTGCAGATGCCCCCTGCCAGAAGAGTTGTCCCACAAATCTTGACATTAAGTCATTCATCACAAGTATCGCCAACAAGGTGAGCTTAGAGTTTGTTGACATGACAGGAGCACTGTACTCATGAAATCACAGGAGATGTGATGCAAAGGGTTAAAAAAAGAAAAAAAAAAGGTATGAGTTTGGCAGTGGGATGGGGTAGTTCTGATAGTAGCTAAGAAGTTGGGAAGAATAGACAGTGGAAATGATAAAATACGTTGTATACATATATGAAATTCTCAAAGAATTAATAAAAATTCTACAAATGTTTTGAGGAAATCAACAGTTAATGCTTACATTGACGGGGCATTACATTAGTCTTCATGGTCATTTTAAATAAGATTTGAAGTGCTGAAATTTTAGACTGACTGGTTGATATTAATCCAGTGAGAAATACCTTAGCCTTTTCTTTTATAAAGGAAATACAGCACCAGTCTTCCAGTATTGCTGCAAAGTGAATAATACTTCATATGGATATGTTTAATGTAGCAGTCATTACTTCAGTGCTTTGTTGATATAAAATTACTATTCCTCTTTGTTTAATGTGACAAAAGTCTTATAGCAGTGATTCCATTTGTTATTATTGCTAGTAATTAACAAGTACCTACTCTTTGCCTATTGTAAGCACTGAAACTTACAATGTCCTTGCTATGATCGTGCCATCGTCATCATCAACATCTTAATAATATATAAAGAGAGTTAGAGATACCTCTTTAAAAATCTAATTATAGTAAGTTTTAACTAATGCTGTATTCCATGTAACCCAAGAGAATTGTGCATGCAACATGTGAACATGCACATGGCTTCCATGGGGAAATGTCATTTAGCCTAAGTAAATACACATGGGATTCCATGAAGAACTGAAGTGGAAACATACAGGTAAGTTGAGATTGGGTCATAAAAATCCATGAATAACAAACTCTACATGTGGGTCTTAATCCCCTAGGGACTGGGAAATCTGCTTTACATTTTGTTGTTGTTGTCTTTGTTTGTTTGTTGTTTGTTTGTTTGTTTGTTTGAGACAGTTTCTCTGTGTAGTCTTGGCTTCCTGGAACTCACTCTGTAGACCAGGCTGGCCTGGACCTCAGAGATCTGCCTGCTTCTGCCTTCCAAATGCTGCAATTAAAGGTGTACACCACTACCGCCTGTCTGCTTTGCAGAAAAATGCAAATAGATACATATTTATCACCTTGCATAAAACTAAAGTTGAAGTTGTTCAAAGACCTCGACATAAAACCAGACACACTAAATCTGTTAGAAGAAAAAGTGGGGAACACCCTTGAACTCATTGGTGCAGAAGTCAACTTCCTGAACAGAACACCAATAGCACAGGCGCTAAGAACAAAAATCAATAAATGGGACCTTATGAAATTGAAATACTTCTGTAAAGCAAAGGACACTGTCATCAGAATAAAACAACAGCTGACAGACTATGAAAGGATCTTCACCAACCCAATATCTGACAGAGGGCTAATGTCCAGTATATATAAAGAACATAAGAAGTTAAAAAGCAACAAATCAAGTAATTCAATTAAAAAAATGTGGTACAGGGCTAAACAGAGAATTCTCAATAGAGGAATCTCAAAGGACAGAGAAACACTTAAAGAAATGTTCAATATCCATAGTCATCAGGAAAATGCAAATTAAAATGACCCTGAGATTTCACCTTACACCAATCAGAAAGGCAAAAATCAAAAACTCAAGTGACAACACATACTGGAGAAGCTGTGGAGAAAGGGGAACCCTCCTCCATTGCTGGTAGGAATGTAAACTTGTACAACCACTTTGGAAATCAATCTGGCACTTTCTCAGACAATTAGGAATAGTGCTACCTTAAGATCCAGCTATACCACTCCTAGGTATATATCCAAAAGATGCTTAAGTATACAACAAGGACATTTGCTCAGCCATGTTCATAGCAGCTTTATTAATAACAGCCAGGATCTGGAAACAACCCAGATGTCCCTCAATTGAGGAATGAATACAGAAATTGTGTTTCATTTACACAATAGAATACTACTCAGCAATTAAAGACAAGGAAATCATGAAATTTGCAGGAAAGAAGTGGGAACTAGAAAAGATCATCCTTAATGAGGTACCCAGAAGAAGAAAGACACATATTATCTTTCTTGGGTAGTAGACATATAATATAGGATAAACATCCTAAAATCTGTACACCTAAAGAAGCTAAGCCAGAAGGAGGACCCTGGCTAAGATGATCAATCCTCATTCAGCCAGGCAAATGGGATGGACATCAGAAGAGGGAGAAAATAGGGGATAGGACAGGAGCTTACCACAGAGGGCCTCTGAAAGACTCTGCCCAGCAGAGTATGAAAGCAGATGCGAGACTCATAGCCAAACTTTGGGCAGAGTGCAGGAAATCTTATCAATGAAGGGGAAGATAGAAAGACCTGGAGGGGATAAGAACTCCCCAAGGAGAGCAACAGAACCAAAAATTCTGGGATCTTTTCTGAGACTGATACTCCAACCAAGGATCATTCATGATTCATGGAAATAACCTAGAACCCCTGCACAAATGCAGCCCATGGCAGCTCAGTCTCCAAGTGGGTACCCTAGTAAGGGGAACAGGGGCTGTCTTTGTCATGAACTCATTGGCCGGCTCTTTAATCAACTTCCCCTCAGGGGAAAGGGGCCTTACCAGGCCACAGAAGACAATGCAGGTCATGCTGATGAGACCTGATATGGTAGAGTCAGAAGGAAAGGGAGAAGTACCTCCCCTATCAGTGGACTGGAGGAGGGGCAAAGAAGGAGAAGAGGGAGGGAGGGCAGGATAGGAAGGGAATGAGGTAGGGAGCTACAGGTAGGATACAAAGTGAATATATTGTGGTTAATAAAGAAAAGAAAGGAAAAAAAAGAATTCTATTAAAGGGTCATATTTTAAATATCACAGCATCCAAAGTATTCATCATTGTAAAAACTTTGTCCTCGTTAAATAATACCGTGTGTAACATAGTTCAAAACATCTTCGTTTGAAAAAAGGATCTTACCAAAATAAACAAAGTTTGAAGCCTAAAATATTTCTGCTAAGACATATACCTAAATTGACAGTACTGATATCAGAAATGAGGAGGTTTGTTGATGGCCATGAAGTCTGAAATTTTTTGCTAGTTAAAATTGTCACTGACCAGTCAGTCCCACATGAGTAGTTGTCTAACTGATCCTAAGGGATATATACTCTACTCACTTAAGATCCACACAAATTCACAGAAAAAATGACAGAAACAAATGATGGCATTCCTTGAAGAGTTTCTATCATGTTTGAGAGAGATATGAATCATCTGTTTTTGTTGTTGTTGAACTCCTTCCATCTGGTTCCGTGGTTATGGGTGGTACAGACTGTTTTTTTGTAAAGGACCACGTTTAATATCCCAGGACCGACATTCTAGCTCAGAAGCATCTACAATTCCAGACAGGTCATCTTCACACTTTTCTGAACTCCAAAGGCATTAGTCGCGTAAGACGTGCAGATACAAACATCCAGGAAAAGCACTCATGACATAGGATACAAGTAAATATTAAAAACCAACAAAAATAACTCTTTCCATTCTTTAAATTTATTGTATTCTGATTTTTATTTAAACACACTAATGAGTGTTTAATTACATACTAATTAAAATTCATACTAATTAAAAATTTATAAATATTTAACTGAAAACTTCATTCTTTATCAGGCTGTGAATAAACTTCCATATGTGGTGTTTTCCTGATGAATCACTTGTAACAATAATGAAAGGTCAAAGATATATTTTTAGATATATACTGGCTGTGAACAATGTAGGCTGTTTTCCTTGCTCTACCAGTGGACCTCAACCAGGAGGAGTGAGATGGTAATTGAATCACCTGATTCAATGAGCCTTGTGCCTCCTTGGGAAAGAGATACTGTGGGTGTGACATTGTGTAAGGGTTTCTGAGATTCACTGGATTTTAGACCAAGACTTCCATTCTTTATTTTCTTACAAACTGGATTACAACTCTCGTTTTGAAAGCTATGCTCAGTTCTATTGTACCTCCGCAGTCAGCTTTTCTCTGTTTCACTGGTGAAGGCTGTTGTTTGCAGCTGTCTCTCTCAATTGGAAATATTAGTTTCTGAGTCATCAAACTGTGAACCCTGGGCTACATTTCAGGATAGTGTTCCTTTAGAGGAACAGTACTCTATGAAGCCAATCTATAAATGTCTGCTAAAGTATTCATATCATGGTCCTGTTTTTTTGGATAGAAGTGATATGTTCTCTTTGAAATTATTGTACTAAATGATAAATGTGGATTTACCCCTTCTCCCTTGCAAATTTTTGTGGATTTCTGTAGCTATTAATTACAAACAAATTAAAGATGCACATGAAGTAAAGGCTTCCCAGAATGATTCAGTGTAAAGCAAACATCACTTCTTTGTGGCTGAGAGACAGCTAAATGTGTTAAGCACTTGCTGTATAAACATGGTGACCTGAGTTTGGGCCCGAGATCACACAGAAGTCTGGGTAAAATCAGGTCCATCTGAACCTACAGTGTTCATACAGTGAGATGGGAGACAAGAGGAGAACCCCTGTTAGATTATGGAAAGCTAGCTTGGCATACTCAGTGGTAGATTTATAGCAAACAAGATAAAAGTTTGACACTCATACAAAGATTGCCCTTTGACCTATATTAGGCATGCTGTGGAATAGACACACCCTACTCACATGCCTAAGCACACGTCCACACCCACACATACCTCCCCCCAAACACACACAAATTAAGAAAACCAAAGCTCTTCTTTCTAATTGAAAGAGATCTTACCATACAAGAGTTGCCAAGGCAACTGGTATAGAACTCAGAGGCACACAGAAAAATTTACAAGGAAAATTTACTTGCATTACTATTGAGAGCAATACTTGCATTTTTTTAAAAATAGTTCTCTTGGTATCTATGTGCATATGTCTGCCATGTTTATCATGAACAACCACAGAGCTCAGTGGTGGGAGGGAACCAACTTCTGCATTTGTGTTTCATTTTCAACTGCAAAGTGGTTCATGCTCTCACAAACAA